TTTTATGGAAAACTAAAATTATTGTAGATGAGGTATCAGAATCCATTATAGATTGTTAAAAAAATTTATGTTCTTTATAGATTGAATCTAATATTCCTGCCACTTTATAGATTGTAATAATGTTCCTACTACCTATTATGTTCAGAGTTTTGAAAATTGAACAAAGGGATTTTTAAAACACTATACTTTAAAACATTTCTCTATATTTTTTATTCTGTATTGTATATAATTCCAATAAGATATTGTTTGCTTTGATTGTCTCTATTTTCTTTTCCAAAGTTTTAACTTCTGTGTTATTGATTTAACTTAATTAATTGTGCCATCTAGCCATGTATAATGGAAAAAAGAAGTTAATATTTGTTATTGTGTTCTACGTCAGGGACTGTACCAAACCTGAATTGATACACTATTTGCTCATGCCTCACAACTCTGAGATTTAAGTATTGTTAGAAAGAGACTAAAAATGAGAGAATAAATTACTTCCTAAGATTACATAGGTGGTAATAATAGAATCAGGACTTAAACTCAGGACTTCTGGTGCCAGCATCAATGATACTTCTTCACTGGTAGTGGTTCTCAAAGCAAGATCTCTGGACAAAAGCATCAGCATTACTGGGAACTTGTTCCCATTACTGGGAAAAGCAAGTTCTTGAGCTTCATCCCAGACCTACTGACTCAGAAACTCTTGAGCATGGCACCCAGAAATATGTGTTTTAATAATCCCTCCAAGTGACTCTCATTCTTGCTATAGGTTAAGATTCACTGCTCTGTACCAATAATTAATTGTCCCCTTTTCTCAGGTTAGAGTCACCCGGAGAGCTTGGAAAAGTCCTTATTCCCAGGATGCACCCTAGACCAATTAAGTAGGAATCTCTGGGGGTGGGACTGAGGCAGCAGTAAAATAAAGTTCACGAGGTGTTTCCAGTGTGCAGCCTTAGTTGAAAACATTCTATGGCATTCAAACCTAGACACCATTTAAATTATTAAGTTATATACAGACATTGCTCCAGCCACAATGAAAAACTTCACTTGGGCGTTTTCAGAGCCCAGCTCTCTGAGCTTCTGTCCCACGTAAGAAGTGGAACATTCTTTCACT